TTTCATTTCCGTAACGATAAAGGTGATTTAAAAGGCTTCCAAACAAACTTTGAAACATTATTTTTACAAGTATCTGTCACAATCTGACACCTGTCAATTAGAGAGCGTGCAAGAAAAAAAAAGCGTAGGAACATTTGAAAACCAACAGAACTAGTTTGGCAAGGACTGTCACGACAATGTTTTCTTCAAAATCAGTCAATGATCTAATGGAAAGTATTATTCACTCTCATCGACCATTCATTCATTTATGTACGAAGATTTACCTCTGCTCATTAAGTAGACGGCGAGGAAAGTAATTGTGAATAAATTCAATTTTTTAGTCTTTTTTAGTCCGTTTAGTCTTTTTTTGAGGTGTGATGCTCTATTGCCAAAAGTAGACTGCTAATGACCAACAAAAACTAAAGGATGAAAGTATGTTAGGAGAGAGTAATCTCTCGGAGGGAGTCATATCAATCCACGGACAGCCACTAAGCAGATAATTAGCAACTGTCTTTCCCCACAGGGGTATATCGCTGTTTGAACAGTAGGATGTTATTGGAAAAAAATTTAGACCAAATTGTGGATATTAATCGTGCAAGCGCTCTTCCCATGTAATAATCTCTATATATTTTTTCGAACTTACGAGGCTATGATTCAGTCCTGGCTTAATGTTGTGTAAGAGATCATCTCTCGCATATTTACCAAGTACGTTTTAATTTAGATATTTGTTTGTTGGCATTATTATCATTTGGACTTCAACAGCTGTGCCCTTCTCCTTTTAGATTTTCAAACACTCCTCCCAATTCAGAGCGCGTGTCTGTAAAAATCAGACAAATTCTAAATTTCGCGGCAAGGGTGAAAAATTCGATTTCTTTGTTATTTTAATATTAGATAGGCTAGACTATAACTAAAATCACTGGATACTTTTTTTGGCAAAATATCTTTTTATTTCAGAGAAAATACAAATAACAAAATTTCGTTAAAATCGTCATTTTTAGAAGCAAATTATTGCACAAGTTTGAGGGCTTCGCATTCAAAAACGAATCACAATCTCGTCTTTTTAACACTCAAATCTTCTTTTTCAACCTCATAAGACCTCACAAAAGAATTTTTGTATACACTGCGTTCCTCTTTGCGTGTAAAATAATTTAATTTCGAAAGCATACATTTCTCTTCAGCAGAAGTACTTTGTGAGCAAAGTTAATTTTCAGCATGTGCTAAACCTTCAAATAGATTAAGCTTTGGGCGGTAGAATAACGAAAAGATGCTCTCAATATTACTGTAAAAATTTCTTTGGGCAAATGATTGAGAGCGATACGAAAGCTTTTCGAAGTCCGTTAAAATGCAGTTATTTGACCTTTCGCGGTCAACATTCCAGTCGCGAGTCACACACATTCTTTAATATAATTCAACCCATATGACGCCGGAAAATGTACATGGGTACTCATTTCCAAATGCTCTAACCTCATTTGCCTTAGAAGAAAGATCCAAAGACCATTTTACTGTGGTTATCTTGTCGCTCGTCGTATTTATAACGTCCAATGAAACTGCCTGTCAATCTGCGAACTGTCACCAACCTTCATTATAAAAAGTTTGACATCTTTCTGCACTGTGGCATCTTATCCAGCGGTTCAGTTGACTGTGAGTGTTGTTCGGTTTGTGGTGCAGTAGATCTGATCGATGCTTAGTAGCACTTCACATATGTTACAGTCAACGTAGTTTTGTGTACGGAGAGTCGTCACGCAATGCAAATCATACAATAGAAAGTTATTTTTTAGGGGGTAGGGGAAGGGGAAAGTAAAAAAGACGTCACTGCTGCTAAGCCTTTTTGTTATTGTGAACATCGAAATCTCTGACATGTAAGTCGTGGAGATCGGGCCTTTGGCTTTTGACTCGTTGAAAAGCTAAATTTGGCACATGCTAAAAATAGTAAGCCTAAGTAAACAAAACTTGGTTTATGGTAATTACACGAAGCCTATTGTTCGCTTAGAGGCGGGGTTTCGGACTGTTTTTCACAAATACACTAACTTACACGGTCAACTTTGTTACATAAAAAATGGAAGGTTGTTGTTCGTTCAAGTCGCTTATTGGCGGAGTTTGTGGTTACAACACTAGAGATCGAATGCGTGAAACGGAAATTGTTCCTTTACTTTCATGCACCAAGAATATCGCAAGTCACGAGTCGGCTTTCAAATTTACCGGTCCTGAAGATGAGATCGACCTTATTTTGTGCCGAGCACACATATGTCAGCCCCTCTGTAGTTTAAGGTTTTAAACGGTAGTTGGGTCTGTTAACAGTGGTTAATAGTACCACTCCCTTATGCAAGCCCCACCCATTGGCCACGGAACATAGCACCCCAGCCTAACATAAGCCACACATTCCCACCACTGCGTTTTGTAGCATGGTGTTATAAAAATGTACAAAAAGTTCTCTTTCATGATATTAGGGTATTTCTTGCAATTTTATTGGAAAGAAAAACACCCCTAATAAGTACGACAGGCACAGAGCGCCAAAAAAACAAGAATAATTCCCTGCAATAAATAAATGTATTTTACTGTTTGTCACCAGACAACGATGACACTATCATAAAAATGTTTACAAAATGAAATATTTTGTAGGTTCCAAGAATTCAATTCTGGAGTTTTGCCCTTCACCTACCCCCTAAAGTTCCTTTGTCACCGGTATTGCGTGACAAGCCAAATACTCAAAGGGCGTACATGTTTGTAGTCAACTCAGTTTAGCATTGAATTATACTGTCATGTCTGCATTGTAAACTGAGCAATACTCGTAGTCAACTGAACCGTTGAATAAGACGCTACAGTGAAGAAAGGTATCGAACGTTTGACAACAAGATGGTGTTCGACAGGGTTGGTGGTTTCATCGGACGTTATCATTTATACAGACCTAAATACGACGAACGACAAGAGAATCTCGCTAAATTGGTCTCTGGATTGGTCTTCTGTGACAAATGAGGTTAGAGCATTTGGAAATATCTTTCTATGTACATTTTTCGGCCTCATATGGGTTGAAACATATTAAAATATGTGTGACTCGCGACTGGAATGTTTACCACAAAAGGTCAAAAAACTGCATTTTAACGGACTTTGAAAAGCTTTTGTATCGCTCTCAATCATTTGCCCAAAGAACTTTTTACAGTTATGTTGAGAACATCTTTTCAAAATGCAACCACCAAAAGCCTAATCCATTTGCAGGTTTAGCACATGGTGAAAATTAATTTTATTCACGAAGTATTTTACTGAAGAGAAATGCATGCTTTCGAAATTAAATCATTTTAAGCGCAAAGAAGAGCGCAGTGTTTACAAAAATCATTTTGTGAGGTCTTATGAGAGCGAAAAAGAAAATGTTAGTGTTTAAAAGACGAGATAGTGATTCGTTTTTGCACGCGAAGCCCTCAAACTCGTGCAATAATTTGCTGCTAAAAATGACGATTTTAACGGAATTTCGTTATTCGTATTTTTCTCTGAATTAAAAAGATATTTTGCCAAAAAAAGTATCCAGTGATTTTAGTTAAAGCCTAGCCTATCTAACATTAAAATAAGAAATAAATCGAATTTTCCACCCTTGCCGCGATATGTTTGATGTTTACAGAGAAGCGCTCTTAAATCCAACATTTTTTCCATGAGAACACTCGCCTTCTTCTCCGCAGGTATCACAGATCTGATGTGCTTCATATGGCTGGTCGACAGGCTTCATTTTTTTACTGAACTGTTTTTCATTTCGCAAATGTTCCTTTACATTCCCACTCAGCAGTGTGGAACTGGCGGCGATCTATACTCGATTTATCAAATGATGCTTAAGGGCCACACCTATAAGACGTTCAAGACTACACCAGGTACGCTGGAATGCAGAGAGGCTTGCCTCGCTGATGACAGATGTAAAAGCTATAACGTGGTCATGTTCATTGCAATGTGTGAATTAAACAACCGGACTAAAGAGGCCAGACCAGAGGACTCTGTCAAGAACGAGGACAGATAATACATGGCAAAAGGTCCAAAAGGAGGTAATTGAACTTGTAAATAAAAACAGCAGTGTGTTTACGTTCATGGATTTTGAGTAACTAGCTTCTGATGTTGCTAACTTTCATTGCCATAAAGTGTAATATTTCAATTTCAGTTCCCCTGGGATCAATTAGCCACCATTAGCTCCATAAGTTTCAGTTTTTGAGAAATCGGCATAGCGATGTCTTAAATTTGTGAAGTTAGGGAAGTAGTAGATGTATTACTCACCGACTGGAAATTGACCGTTGTGTGTGGTGGGTAAATGCACTTTTTCTTCAAAAACTAGGAGTTTTTGACACTTGGTATTTTTCAGAAATTAACCAAGTCACGGCATTTTTTTTCTTGTAACTCGAACGTTAGGTCGAAGAGCTACCTGGCTATGGTTTTTACGAGAGGGAAGTATACTTTTGACGAAAAATACAACAGTGTCGTATGATCTGATTTTGGCATCAATCATCTCTCAAAGGATCACCCATGATTTCCTTGTGATCACAAAGATCATCATCAATTTGGAAGATTGGTTTTCGACCGTTTTTCTATCCCCCAAACTCAACCTTGATTTTGAAAAAATGCCGAAATAAACCAACTACAAATAATTTCGTCAGAACTGAAATTTCCACGATTTTTATGTCAACTCTTTTCCATGATAAAAGATGTGTCCACAGACATACAATTGGCCACAGATAATTCGAATGGCAAGTTTTGAGACATCGATACATCGGTATCTTACATTTGTGAATTTATGAAATGGGCGGACGTTCAAATCAGCAAGAGGTGACTATCGTGCTTGCTTGGTAAATGAATCAAAAGGAGGCCAAAAATGAAAGGGAAAACGCCCTTTTGCCTCTCAGCGTGAAGTTTGTAAACCATGTTTTTCAACCATTGCAGTTTGATCCGGGCTCAAAGTCCACACTATTCAAATTATATTGTTCTACATTGGGAAGCAAAGAAATAAATGCAGGTGAATATAAGCCTTACTGTTTGATTCATTTTACTTTTATCTAGAATGTGGGCCTGTTGGTGTGACAGACAGAAATGCAATCTCAGATGCCAGAATGACAGCAAGCACTGTCTTTGATACAAGATTTTATCCGTACTATGGCCGACTTCATGAAAACAGAGGATATGGAGGATGGTGTCCCAGGACTGTATCTGACAGAACAGACTATCTTCAAGTTGATATGGGTATAATGCTGTCTGTTTGTGCTGTGGCCACCCAAGGCGAAAGGATAAACAATGAATGGACTACCAGCTACAAACTGCAACTATCCACAGACGGTGTAACCTGGAACGTTTTCGAGGAAATCAACACCGCAAAGGTTTGATCGGCAACTATTAGTAATGATTATAGGACCACAAAGAGTCCAACTCAGTAGGTTACAAAAGCGACTTTCAAAATTCCACCACTGCAAGCAGGAGTGTGATTTGTTGCTATTCACAAGTATGATTACTGACCGAACGGTGGGACAAAAAGTCTTGTGACTAATCTGCCAGAACCATTGTCAAGTTGAAGAAACAAAATAGCCATCAGGGAATGCATTCATAAATAACAGTTTACTTTCATTTTAAAAAAAAGATGCACCCAATAGTCTGCTAATAACTATCACGATTTGGAGATCTTTGCCAATATGTTGAATGAAGCCAAATTGACTGCAATTGCCAATAGTATGCTCTCTCTTGGTGATAAACTGAGGAGTGACATTAAAAGAATGAATTAGCGAAGTGGTTTCATTCCAGAGTTTTTAGCAGCTCTCAAGCTTGTATGTCTTTCACTACTGAGATTTTTTAATTATCTTAAGATTTTTTTTCCTTTTTTTGCGACAAGATTTAAGAGAAAGGCTACAGTTCTATCATAGATTATTCATTAAGAGATCCCCGTCTAAAACTACCTTAATACTTTAAATGCAGCATAAGCTTGCTGGCCAAAATTGATGTAAGTTAGATCGTCTTCCACACTTCAACCTTTCCATAAAACATTTCCCTTTAAATGTGTTGCCGAATTATAATATTTTCTCGCTATGATGTTTGCATTTTTTTCTCTTCCAGGTTTTCCCAGGAAACTCAGACCGACACAGCGTTGTAAAGCATTTCCTCGCTACTGACGTCATGGCCAGTTACGTTCGGTTTTATCCCGTCACCTACCACACTTTTCCTTGTTTGAGAGTTGAAATATTTGTGCGAAAATGATGACATTTAAAAATGTTCTTTCTTTTATGCACAATAAATAAAAAATACTCTACAATGGGAACTTCCGATGCTCAAGCCAAGTCTATCTATATTTAGTGTGAATTGTGGAAAAACCTGATCACCAACAGAGTATGCCAGACACAAAGCTTCGTTTTCCATTTAAACTAAAAGTGGATCGCTACCTCACGACTGCATATTGATAGTATTCCTCAGACGAAGAGACGAACCATTATACTTAATAGAAAGAGTGTATAAACCACGATAAAAAACCATAACCAACCAAATGACATTTACAGGCACATGAGACGAGGTCTGGCAAGGATCAAAGAACTGATTTACTTCATTTCGTTAAACAATAACTGATGGACGTGTGCTTTTCTATCACGAAATATTTGCAATTGTGAAGATTTGTCTTCTGATCATCGTCTAGAAATATAAGTCATACCTATATGTACAAGTAGAATGTTGACAGAAAATATAAAATAATAGAAACAAGTTAGTGACCCTTCGTTACATGTAGGTGGTATGCGGTATAGCCTGCTCTTCGAAAGTCCATTTGTTTTCGATGCGTATTTTGCAGAACTATTGAATTTACTCATATCAGCGATTGTTAGTGTAATGCCAATACGAAATCTTTTGGAGATACAGATGTATATAGCCGAATCCAAATCATTTGTGGTCATATTTGTTGTTTCGTAAGGAATGGGCTATTGATGGATTTGAAAAAGATTGAACTAGCCTTAGTAACTAACGTAATAGAGAGAGACGATTTTAGAGGTATAAAATCGAAGAAAATAAGTGTTTTCTTTTTCGTTTTATCGTGGTCTCGTTTCAAATGACACTTGTGTATAGTATAAAATTATATAAGACCCCTTTTTCATAAGTCCTTTTATAAAGGGAAGCACTTGAATGAAAGCCAAGAACCAACTAATACTCTTTTAAGTCTGGTACATTAAAGAAAGAAAGAAAAGGAGAAAAAAAGACAAAGAAATAATGCTATGCGCGAGGAAATAACTATCATCTAAACTAAAATTATCCTACACTAGAAGTTGTGTAATCCAATTTAAGACTCGTTCTCAAACCTGCGCAGAAAGAGTTTCCTTATTCAATTAAATTGGAAGGCGTAGTGAGCTTGGGGAAAAAAAGGGAAGAAAGAAAACAGTGTTTAATACGCGACACCACAAGTTAAAATTAACAATTAACTCCAACATTGTTTTTTGCTTCTTTAACAATTGCTTCGCTCTGTGATTGGTCCAGAAAACCCCGACAGTGACTCACAATCACTAGCGCTATTTTAATGGTAGTGAAAATAAGGCCTGAAAAAATTTAGGTCCGTTCGGGATTTGAACCCATGACCTCTTCGTTACTGTAGAGTGCTGTACCGGTATCGCAGTGGTCATGGGTTGAAATCCCGTACAGGCCTCAATATTTTTTTCTCACCACTACTTTGTAACTGCGTAATGTATATGATTTTCATATATTTACACTCATGAATGCGTTTTCTTTATTCCTGCGCGTAATGAGTCTTATGCATTGAGTGCTATTCCAGTAATTCGAACAAATTAAACCAATACAATATTCATGATACGGTGGACTTAAAAACACTTTTTTGTCCTCCAGCGCTGCAGGGGTACATATAGAATTTAGACTCGAATTTGGTATGGTAATTGGCCATGATAACCTTACATGTCTGAAAATATAATCACCATATATAATTTAGCATCTTTTGAAACAATTTTCGTGGGATCACACACATGTTCTTGTATTGGCGCATCGAAGAACCATTGTTTACCATCACAGCCATTTCGAACCAACTAATTATTAAACTTCGTCCAAATTATAAGATGAAATGAAACAAATCAAGCCAGAACCATCAGGATTAAAACTGAGCATATTTTGGGCATGTTGAGATGGTGATACTTCGAATCTGATGCAACTTATGTTTAGTAGTCTGTTTCAATACCATTGATTTTATATTTTGGGTAGTTAGCGGTACCTAGGTGGGATGATGTTTTGAACTAATTTATTAATTATCATTACATTTGAAGTCCGGTTTTTGCATTTCTACCGTTCTGATTAGTTCATCGGAAAACGATTGACCCAAATGTCGCTAAGCGTAATTTCGTTTGGCCAGAAGCAAACACTTCTCCTATCTCCGTAAAACAAATATTAGTCAAATGTCAACTTGGTAGGAAAACTGAAAGACGCAAAGTACGACATAACTTTATTGAATGGTACGTACCTTTGAAGTTTCACCTAAAAGTTTTGCACTTGACATAAACCTTTTATGGAATAGGAAAAGTATAATGACGCCACCTAAAACAAATTTAATTCCACAGCATTATCGAGAAGTGTAATTTTTTTTTTTTGTCAGAGTCAAGCTATCGTGAAAAGAATATATACAAATCAACATATACATAAAAATATACATTTTTAATATATTTGAAAGTTTCTTGTCATTCTTAGTCGTGTCTCTACGGATTTATGAGTGGTTTGGAATGGTATAGAGGGTTCTGGACTGTAAGTTCGAGCACCTCTACAGCTGTTATCGATATCTCTCGATAACGATCACCAGAACTGTATGTTGCAGACATTAAGCCTAAGCAACAAATCACTGCTATTTTCGTACGACTGTATTTTCTTTCATTTCCTTTTATTTGTTTCTTGTACAAAAACATGACGAGATCGCGCTGCATTACCCCATTATTTATTGGTACAGGGTGAAGGTAACAATATATGTTGCAAGTGTACCATCACCGTGATCTTCAGAACTATTATATTGATTTGTAAATTTCAGGCAATAAGCTACTTCTTACTTACTCTCTAATATCCTTAAGTGCACGTCTTTTGGGAGCAAATACATCTTTCATTGGGATGTTTTTTAATCATAATTTATAAAATTTTCATCTGCTTACCAACCAGTCAGAGAAAGCATTCCACGCGTTATATCAAATCACCACCTTAGATCCCATATAATTGGTTTATTTGTACCACGTGGGACAAAAACTTTCTCTTTGATTGGTTGTGTATCATAGTGCACCCCTTCTATCCTACAAATGATAGATAAATATTGCAAGATTTTCGTTCACAATTTCATGGACAGTATTTTTTTTGTGAAATAAGGATCATAAGTTTATTCTAAGAAAAACATTCCAAACAATAAGTACCCAAGACCATGAAATTTATCAACAAATAGTTTTGCTAGAGCCTTGTGTTACTAACTTTTACTCTAGCATATATTTTTGACGTACTTACAGTGGCGCAAAATGAATTCGTTTTCCAAATACGCATCCTGTTTCTGGGTCAATACAACTAAATAAAGAAAAACAATTAAAACTGACCAACTAAAATTCGACTAATTCCAATAATAGACAACAATCATGCACGGGGGTTTTTATGTTTAAATAGATTTGATGGGACTGAGGAAGTTCACGTTACTGAATTATTTTCAAATATATACACTATATTGAGCAGCGACTGACATCCGCTCATGCAAAATGCAGGTGTTCTGAGGCTAATAATTCTTTACCAGTGGAAACGTAATTAAAAAAAAATCCTTCGCGAATATTGTTCAAATGTTTTCCAACAGTTTCTCTCATAGGAAAGCTGACACCAAGATCAAAAGTCTCGACTTTACATTTCTATTCTGTTCGACTAAAGGCGAAGCTGTCAAAAAAATTAATGGACGAATAATAATGACACTTGGACACGAGCTCCACGTACATACACCTTTGTCGCAATGGTAACGACTTAACATCACATTTACCATATTATGCTCTACCGGCCACGACGTAATCTGTATCAGGTACTAGGCATCATCATCTCTCTACATGCAAAAACTATCTAGAGTATTTATCCGAAAGGTTTCAGTTTTATTTGCTTTATTTCAGCCTACGATATAAGTCAAGAAAAAATAATTAGTTATTTTCCTCTGTATTGACTGAAATAAAACCAAATCAAAATAAAGCCGTCGGCATTAGAACTACGCATATTGTTCGACAAGGTTTCGTTTGTAAACAGCGATTCTTTAATGTATTGATTCTTCTACGTTTTTTCGTGTTATTCCTCGGAAATGGCTTCTCTACATGCAAAAATTATATAGAGTATTTATCCCAGAGGCATCAGTTTCATTTGTTTTATTTTAGCCTATGATATAGGCCAAGGAAAAATAATCATTTATTTTCTTTTAAATAAAAAAAATCTAAATAAAGCCTTCGTTAGAACTATGCATGTTGTTCGACAAGGTTTCGTTTGTAAACACCGATTCTTTAATGTACTTATTCTTCTACGTTTTTTCGTGTTATTCCTTGCAAATGGCTTCAAGATATGCCAAATCGTTTATCAATAAGCTGGATTATTTTTGAGAAATATAGGATTACCATAGAAACAATTTTTTTTCGAATTTCCCTTAATTTTAGCTTTTTATGCCTGAAACTTCAAAATAAACAGGTCAAGGGGGTTAAAAGAAACTATGATTATCGCCAACGGGTCTCAGTGCTGTGTTGTGGAATACAAACAGGAAGATGAAAGTACTTCAGCTTAAAATATTTCGAGTTAATAGCAAGGTCGCGGATATCAATATCAAAATTTAAAGAATAGAGAATGAGATGTAGGCACCCGAAAAAGTTTATTTTGTTGCTTAAGTTGGTGGTTTTGTTGTGTAATTTAAAAAACTCTTAAATGAAAAAGGGCAGAACAGCTTTACGGGCCGTTAAGTTTAGGGTAGTTTCACGAAACCCGTCCCTAATGTAGTAATTATTGAAAAACGTAAACAGGTGATTCAGCCGAGCGGAAGACTGCAATAAGCTTGTTATATTTTGGCACGGGTATATATCTTCTTATTTTTAGTTGTCATGGGATGAAGAAATGCGACAATTGAACAGTTCGAATGAACATTGATCTGGATGAAAGACTAGAAAAGGAGAGGGTGGAGGGGCGGATTTTAAAGCGAAAAAAATTGGTTTTTCTTCGATTACCCAAATGGAAATTTTGTTCTAAAAAATTGGACTGGTTGATTATTATTATTATTATTATCTTATTTTATTATTATTTTTTTTAATATCGATGCTGTAGGTCTCTCCTGGCCTAATGTTGTGTAAAAATCTATCTCTCGCAAGTTTATGAAGTATGTTTTTATCTAAACATTTTTTTGTTGGCATTATTATCATTTGGTTTCACCAGCCTTGCCATCCTCCTTTTATATTTTTAAACACTCCTTCCGGTTAAATCAAACATTTCCTCCATGAAACACCCGCCATCTTCTTGGCAGGTATCACAGATCTGATGTGCTTCATATGGCTGGTCGACAGACTTCATTTTTTACCGAACTGTTTTTCATTTCTCAAATGTTCCTTAACATTGCCACTCAGCAGTGTGGAACTGGTGGCGACCTATACTCGATTTATCAAATGATGCTTAAGGGCCACACCTATAAGACGTTCAAGTTTACACTAGGTACGCTGGAATGCAGAGAGGCTTGCCTTGCTGATGACAGGTGTCAAAGCTATAATGTGGTCATGTTCATTGCAATATGTGAGTTAAACAACCGGACTAAAGAAGCCAGACCAGAGGACTTTGTCAAGGACGAAAACAGATATTATATGGCAAAAGGTCCAGAACGAGGTAATAGAATTTGCAAATATAGAATAGTAGGGTGTAGTTATGTCTACGGATTTTGCGCGACGAGCCTCTGATTTTTTTTAACTTTTATTCAGTCAAAGTAAAATTTCAATTTCGGTTCCCCTGGGATCAATCTTTGAGCTGCCTGCTGAATCGTGCGAGGAGATCGAGGCGAGTGAAGGAAGACAGGCAGTTAACGGTAATTATTGGCTGGATTTTACAACATCTGGGAACTCTACTTCAGCTCGTTGCGCATAAAGACAAAATGTTAGAACAAGAAATATTCCAAGGATATTTCTCTCTTAAATTCTTAATCAGCCTTCTTTCTTACTAGTTGCGGACTATTGTGTCAAGCACCTAAGTCAAAACGGTGCAAAGTGCGTGAACCGTGAAATCAACCACTTGTGCGCGTGTAACTCATCTATTTGGACAGGGAAATATTGTGAAAAAGGTTTTTCTTTTGTTGAAATAGTTTCTGACCTCTGAGGGGATCGGCCATGATCTCCTTGTCATCACAAAGAACATCGCTAATTAAGAAGTTTGGTTTTTAAGCGGTCAAAACAAATTGTGGAAGGCTATATATCACACAACGTTTTCGATGTGCGTTAATCCAGCAAATGCTAATAACTTCGTCATTTTAAATCGTTAGAACTGAAATTTCCACATTATGCAAATGCTGGTAATGAATTTTGTCCATGGAATGCGGTCACGTGGCTCGCGCGCAACAAGAGCGAATTTCATGGAACTACCTCCTACAATTAGCTCCACTCGTTTCACTTTTTGAGATATCGGCACAGGAATATCTTACGTTTATGAAGTTAGGAACGGGGTGGATGTACCATAAACCAGTTGGAGATCGACCACTGTGTTTGGTGGGTAAATGAATAGAAAGAACGTCAAAACGACGGGAAAGTAGCATTTTTTCTTTAAAAACTGAGTTTCTGACGCACGGTATTTTTAAAAATGAATCAAGTCACGGTATTTTTTCTTTTGGCGTAAAATACAACAATGCCGTACCATCGAATTTTTGTCATCAATCGCCTCTAAAAGGATCACCCATGATTTCCTTGTGTCACGAGGATCATCATTAATTTGGAAGATTGGTTTTCGACCGTTTTCCTCCCGAACTCAAATTCTATTATGAAAAAAATACCGAAATAAACCAACTGCAAACAGTTTCGTCAGAACTGAAATTTTCACGAATTTTATGTAAACTCTTTTCCATTATAAAGGATATGTCCACAGACATAAAATTGGCCATAGATAATTCCAAATGCAATTTTTTGAGATATCGATACAACAGTGTCTTACATTTGTGAATTTATTAAATGGGTTGACGTACAATTCACCAAGAGATGACCATTGTGCTTGCTTGGTAAATGAATCAAAAGGATGACAAAACGAAGGGAATAACGCTCTTTTGCCTCACAACGAGGAGATTGTAAGCCATGTGTTTCAACTATTGCAGCTTGATCCGCGCTAAAAGTCCACACTGTTCAAATCATACTGTTCTACGTTGGGAAGCAAAGGAATAGATGTAGGTAAATATAAGCCTCACTGTTTGATCCATTTTACTTTTATCTAGAATGTGGGCCTGTTGGTGTTACAGACAGAAATGCAATCTCAGATGCCAGAATGACAGCAAGCTCACTCTATGATAAAAGGTATTATCCGTACTATGGCCGACTTCATGAAAACAGGGGATGGGGAGGATGGTGTCCCAGGACTAAAACTGACAGAACAGACTATCTTCAAGCTGATATGGGTACAATGCTGTCTGTTTGTGCTGTGGCCACCCAAGGAGAAAAGAGGTACTGGGAATGGACAACCAGCTACAAACTGCACCTATCCACAGACGGTGTAACTTGGAACGTTTACGAGGAAACCAGTACTGCAAAGGTTTGATCGGCAACTATTAGTAATGACTATAGGACCGCCAAGAGTCCAATTCAGTGAGTCACAAAAGCGACTGATAAAATTGCACCGCTGCAAGTAAGAGTGTGGTTTGTTGCAATTCACGAGTATGATTACTGACCGAACGGTGGGACAAAAAGTCTTGTGACTAATCTGCCAGAACCATTGTCAAATTGAAGAAACAAAATAGCCATCAGAGGATGCATTCATAAATAACAGTTTACTTTAATTTAAAAAAAAGATGACCCAATAGTCTGCTGATAACAATCACGATTTGGAGATCTTTGCCAATATTTTGAATGAGCCCAAACAGACTGCAATTGCCAATAGTATGCTCTCTCTCTCAGTGATAAACTGAGGAGTAAAGTTAAAAGAGTGAAATAGCGAAGTGGTTTCATTCCAGAGTTTTTAGCAGCTCTCAAGCTTGTATGTCTTTCACTATTAAATATTTGGAATTATCGCAAGTTCTTTTATTGCGACAAGATTTAAGAGAAAGGCTACAGTTCTGTCAAAGATTATTCATTAAGAGGTCCCTATCTAAAGCTACTTTGATACTTTAAATGCAGAATAAGTTTGCTGGCCAACATTAATGTAAGTTAGATCGTCTTCCACACTTCAAGCTTTCCATAAAACATTTCCCTTTAAATTTGCATTATGTGTTGCCGAATTATATTATTTTCTCGTTATGATGTATGCATTTTTTCCTCTTCCAGGTTTTCCCAGGAAACTCAGACCAACACAGCATTGTAAAGCATTCCCTCATTACTGACGTAATGGCCAGATACGTTCGGTTTTATCCCGTCACCTACCACAAGTTTCCTTGTTTGAGAGTTGAAATATATGTGCGAAAATGATGGAAATTAAAATTTTCCTTTCTTTTATACACAAATTAAATATAGATTAAAAAATATTTTAAAATGGGAACTTTCGATGCTCAAGTCAAGCCTACAAAAGTCAGTGTGAATTGTGGAAAAACCTGATCACCAACAGAGTATGCCAGACACAAAGCCTTGTTTTCCTTTTAAACTAAAATGCGAGATAAGGGTCATAAGTTACTATAAGAAAAAAAATATCTCGACGTAGTCAGAAAAAGTGGATCGCTACATCACGACTGCATATTAATAGTCTTCCTAAGGCAAAGAGACGAACCATTATACTTAATAGAAAAAGTGTATAAACCACGATGACAAACCATAACCATCTTAACGACATCTACAGGCTCATGAGATGAGGTCTGGCAAGGATCAAAGATCTGATTTATTTCATTGCGTTAAAAAAAAAACTGATGCACGTGTTCTTTTCTATCACGAAATATTTGCAAGTGTGAAGATTTGTCTTCTGATCGTCGTCTAGAGTTATAAGTCATACCTATATGTACAAGTAGAATGTTGACAGAACATGTAAAATAATAGAAACAAGTTAGTCACTCTTCGTTACATGTAGGTGATATGCGGTATAGCCTGCTCTTCGAAAGTCCATTTGTTTTCGATGCATATTTAGCAGAACTATTGAATTTACTCATATCTGTGATTGTTAGTCTAATGCCGATATGAAACCTTTTGGAGGTACAGATGTAGACAGCCGAATCTAAATCATTTGCGGTCATATTTGTTGTTTCGTAGGGAATGGGTTATTGATGTATTGTTTTGATACAGAAACTTATTATCTTCTCAAAGGACTTGGCTTTGTCAATCAATACATTAACTGTACAAAGTAAGCAATGTTCACTTGGCTTGTATTCCTGTCTCTGAGCACCTCTGTCGTAGCTAAACAAATTATTAGCAATCATGTCAAAGTATCATTGTTTATCTTCTATTAAGATCTTTCCCTGGAATAACTTTGCCGCATGAAGCACAACGCTAAAAATCATACAAGCTAAATTTTGAAAAAGATCAAGCTACCCTTCGTATCTGACGTAATAGAGAGAGACGATTTTAGATGTATAAAATCGAAGAAAATGAGTGTCTTTTTTTGTTTTATCGTGGTCTCATTTCAAATGACACTTGTGCATAATATGAGATACCCCTATCACAAAAGTCCTTTTATAAAGGGAAGCACTCGAATGAGAGCCAACTACCAACTAATACTCTTTTAAGTCTGAAGAAGGAAAGGAAAGAGAGAAAAAAACTCATAAAAGAGCATTGTCTTCCGCTGGAAATGTCATTAAATCGTTCGTGAACTTTTTGAATAGTGTCAGCGATTGATAGAATTGCATTTGACATAATCGATCAGTTCAAAAAGAGCAATAAAAACTTACCCGCTGCTCGACTATTGAACTCTCGAGGGTTTGATGGCAGGAACGTAGGACCATGTGGGCTGCGCGCGCACAATTAAGCAACTACCGCCACTGATCTTAATACTGCATCTTCGAAATCATTGCCACCGAACGAACGAAAATCACATTTCAGCGGATCGAATGTTGAACGCATATGAATTTAAAGCCCAGGTCCCACAAGGAAAGTCAAGAATAGTGTTGCTGCTCGCTAATGCTCGCAGCAATGAAACAAATGAGGCTGAAACCAACGGGATTAAAACTGAGCATTGTTACGAGAGGTTTTCCGCACTAAAACCGGACTTCGCTGGAAACGTACAATAACAAGCGAAAATAGCTCGGTAGAGACACTCGCCTACGAGGACGGAAACTCGTCACGGTTTCACGGTATACGGAGATCTGCTTCAAGTGAGCTTGCTGAGGACATCAAGGATTAGATAGCGTTTGGTTCCTCGGTAAGTTTATTCTAGTTTAGGCCAACAACTGACATGACCTCTAGCTTACTCAACTTCGTAATCGTAAACGCTTTACAAAGTACTTGCTTAAGTAGGAACTGGTGTGAGTTTATATTGTTCTCTAAATTTACAATATTTAAATAGTATCCTAAGAGTGGTCTCTGAAGTAAAACGATTTCTATTTAAATATTCCCATCTGTTTCTACGACGGAAGAATTTCAAAATTAAATAAGCCGGGATACAATAAACTCTAGGTCATTAAAAATAGGATCTGAGATGAGAAGTCACAGCTCTGGTGTTGACCTACCTAATTACAGTAAAACAGCTTAATTTAAGAAATGAAGGTGGAAAAGTAATTAAAAATTTCTGCTTACTCATGTAAGGTTGGTGTGGGAAATTGTCGTATGAAAGGAAATTGAAATTACGAGCGCAAACTCAGCTGCCAATTACCATGAGAACCATTTTTTTCTGAAAGACCATGAACAATTATATTTACCTAAAATTCCACTAGTGATGGTCAACAAAAGTACCGACATGCAGGTGTACAATGAAAGCGAGCAACAAAGCAAAAATATTTTAGTCTACTTTTTAAAAACTACTGTGGCTTTTTTTTAAATATTTTTTTAACTTACTTAGGCTGAAGAACTTGAATGAACTCGATTAAATTGAAAATGGTTCCATATGAAAATTTTACGAATAAATATGTCCAAAAACCCATGAAAAACGTTAGCAGTAATATTCTATCGTAAATTCCAACAATACGATATTTCGGCTATTATTTGCACATTTGTAGAATAATCTGCAAAGAACCCATTCATCCATCTTTCTGCACAGCTTAGCCGGTCGAGTCAAAGAACGAACAAAATACAAGAACTGGATTGAGAACCTGAAAAATAAAATTTGAATTGCAAGAGGACTTGAACTGCGCGACCGAAAAGATACTAAACATTGTCCGAAACTAAAACTCTTAAATTTTCCCCTAACAGCACATTTTGGGCATGTTGAGATGGCGATACTTCGAACCTGATGCAACCAGTCAAATGTCAACTTGGTAGCAAAACTGAAAGCCACATAATACGATATAACTTTATTGAATGGTGCGTACCTTTAAAGTTTCACCTAAAAGTTTTGCACTTGACATAAACGTTTTATGGAATAGGAAAAATATAATGATACCACATGAAACAAACTTAATCCCATAGCATAGTCGAGAAGTGGAAATTTTTTGTCGGAGTCTAGCTATCGGGCAAAATATATATACCACCATATATATATAAAAGTATAAATTTTGATTATTTTTTAAATTTACTTGTCATTCTTAATTTCACGACAGATTTATGAGTGGTTTGTAATGTTCTAGATGGTTCTGGACTGTAAGTTCGAGCACATCTACAGCTGTTATTGTTATCTCTCGATAACGATCAACATAACTGTATGTTGCAGACATTAAGTCTAAACAACAAATCTCTGCTGATTTCATACGACTGCATTTTCTTTCAGTTCGTTTTAATTGTTTCTTCTACAAAACATGATGAGATCGCGCTGCATTACCCATTACTTCTTGGCGCGGGATGAAGGTAACGATGTATGTTGCAAGTGTACTATCACCAATCAGACTCCCACATTTGGGTATGTATCTCGCACCAATCAGGTTTCCGCATTAAGGTATGTATCTTGCGTTAAACAGATTACCTCATTAGGTTATATATCTCGCACCAATCATATCACAGCATTTGGATATCTCGCATCAATCACAGCGTTTGGGTATTATTTTCATGCAAATGCTGTCATGAGTTCAGGGGGCTGTGCACGAAGAATGATATTAAACAGAAATTTTGATAAGTGTAATGGTTTGTGGCCTTCGTGAGAGACTCGTCGACTGAGGTCGAGATTTATCGGGTTATGAAAGGTTCGCGTCTAACCTTTTTGTATCATTTTCAAGTTAAAACGTTCATTTCCCGTTCCTTGCAGCTCACCCGCCAAACAACTTATATTCCATCACGTACCATGAAAACAATGTCCAAGGTCCAATCAGAACGTACCCAATCCTTACACTACATTAGTGACATTAGGCAATTTTTCACGTGCTTGAATTGTATTCCACCGATCAAATTCCCAATCTGGAGCCCAGGGTTATTATGACTACTTGCCAGTGGTATGGTCGCCAAATAATAACCTTTGGGAGGATAGATTAATTCAATTTTATTTTATTGGTTGATAGGAAAACAATAGACTCCGCGCAGGAAGTGTAATTTACGGAGGGGATCGATCTGGATGGAACATTAACAACGAGGAATTTGAATTGTTTTTTACGGTCTTAATTTTTTTTTCTTTGCGTGAAGGTTTTCATTTGTAAACGCCTTGTCGATGTGTGAGAAAACATCCAGCCAAAGCCACTGCGTGCTGCAATGGCGGGAAACTGTTCTTTATGGAACGATGGATTGCTGTCGTCGTCGTCCAAGACGTATAAGTAGAAATAAATCATTACATTTATTTGTTTTTAGTGAAAAGCAGAAAAGAAGGAACTGTAGAGGTCTTACGAACGTGCGGAAATGTATTGGTATAAAAGAGTTCGACATCAGAATAGCTTAGTATTCAGTATCAAAGAAGAAAGCGAGAAGACTAAATATGTAAGGAAATCACGAAGAGAAGGGTTCCTTTCTTAAAAAAAAAAAAAAACAGAAATGAGGTCTATCGCCATCCAAAGCCCTTCTCAGACCATAGTTTCACTATCTGCTTTACCGCAAGTAAACCACTCAAAAGATCCATTATACCCACGTCTCGAGTACTCCAAAAAGACACTTCTGATGGAAACACAGAGGTAATCGTTTCATATTTATCTATGAATCTTGGGACACATTAAATCCTCTTTTTTTATCACCTTTAGTTTAACACTAATTTAAACAAGCAATGAACAGGGATTGAAATACTTGAAAGGGCTGGCCATAGAAATCCTGATATCCTTAGATATGGAAGTTTTACATGCTGCTACATTTACAGCCGGTTTGCATTGTGATAGGCAAAATTTTTTAAACAATTACAATGTTCATGTATGTCATTCAAACTCCATGTTAATATTTTTTTGTCTACTATGATCAGAAACATTCAACATAGTTTAATTAAATCA